TACTCACACCGTGAGGATCACAGTATGAGGATCATGTGAACTCACAATGATTTCACCTATTACTCACACCGTGAGGATCACAGTATGAGGATCGTGTGATGTCACTGTGATCATCGCATGATCTCACGTGTTGACTGGGATTGCTTTGTCATATAACGGTGAAATTACCTGATATTTTAAGACTCTACACAGGACCAGTGGGTTGGAAAATAGATGGATGTTTTCCATGTTGGTTAATCTATGTGATTTGGCAGACAAAGGTTGTTGAATGTTAATAAGCAGACTCTAAGAATTCTCTAGAAGACTCTATTTCAGTCTCTTAATGAGGATTTTTTTATTTATATCAGATTTTTTTTTAATAAATCTGTGTCCCTCCAAAAACACATAGTATTTTTTCTTTAGAAATGAAAAACTTAATCATCATAGAGTTGTTGAATTCAAATCGCTGTATTGTGAATTGCATTTTTTTAACTGTATATTTTAATAAATATATGTCCAGATGAAAAAAATGAACCCCAATATGACTATATGTAGAGCTAGATCAATGTTAGTGATTGGCCAAAGGCCATCTATTCAAACATTGCCCTATCTGCTCTAGACCAAAGCCACAAGTGGGAAGACTCAAATTTATCAAGTCCTTAAGGGGCACCTTCACATGACAGCCTCGAAATGATCTCAGTCCTCGCAGGTGTGCCTCAGCAAAGACAAGAGGCGAGTATGATGGAAAGGGAGTAAAAGCGATTTCACTTGCATTTCTCAGAGGTGAGTTTTGTGCACGGTACCACTAAGTTCCAGTTTAGGTAAAGTAGAAGCAGCTTGGTGGACGTGCGTGTCAGTGAGCTGAAAGGCCTGATGTATGACAGGCCATCTGGATTCCATGATGTACACCACGCCTGAAAGGGTGACAAGGATTGGCGCAGGCCTCCACTCCCTCAGACAGCTCACCCCGACGCCATATTTCAAAGAAACACCACTGTCTGCTGTGATTTATGCCTTATTATGAAGCTGTCGCTCATCGCTAGTGCAGAACTCATTAGGGACCTTTATTTTTATACAAGCATTCTGCCATTTAAATTGAATCTGCGTACAGGGAAGATGGTTTCTATGGCAGAGAACCACAGTGGACTGTAGACTAATTTAACATTCACATGTAAATTAATTTCATATTTTGACTTTTTCAATTTGCCCGCTCCTGTGAAGCTTGCAATAGTTAAAGATGGAGTAAACATCCAAAACGGAATTAAACCTGGATGTAAACCTGGATGTGAGGAGCAGTGTTGAACAAATGTATGCGAAGCCAGTTTTTGCATTAATTCTCCCAAGTGAGTAGCAAAATTAACTACTCAGGATAAATTGGTGACTTTCTAAGCAATTCGATAAACCAATTGAGATTGGGTGACTTGGATTTAACCTTCCGCCTGTCAGGTTATAAATATGTTCATGTTAAGTCTCATGCCAATGTGTCAAATAATGTGTAAGTGAAGTTACATGGACATAGTGAGACACTTTCCTTAAAGGGATAGTTCTCCCAAAAATCGTCAGTCATACAGGTTTGACATGAGGATGAGTACACAGTCAGTCATACAGGTTTGACATGAGGATGAGTAAATTATGTAATTTTAGTTTTTTGGGTGATCTATTCCTTTAAATAACTTTTTTTTTCTTCTTGTGCAGTACATACTAGAAAATTGTACATGCTACTCTGAGAAAATTCAATTATCCTTTAACCTTATCGACATTCTACTGATTAAATAACTATAACAGAGTTGGCAGTTGAATAACAACTATATGTGCATGATGTGAAGTGAACATGAAATGTTAACGTCTAGTTATAGATGCAGGTTTAGGGTTACAACAGCAACATCACTGTCCTTCATTACTGAACTGCTTCTAAACATGATCCACAAATAAACAGTACTAGCAGACTCAGATAAAGAACTTTTAAAATTCCATGAACTTGATCTAAACAGTATTCCATTTACACCAGACCTCCTTATTTAGATAAATGTTGTTTATTTGAAAATGTCACACATCCTTATCCTTTATCAGTAAACGTCAGATGGCCGAACTTTCCAATTAGCGGAACTATTGGGTTTGACATGGAAAATTCCACTTTGTTTAAGGTTAAAACAACACCAGCTAATGGAACCTACATTAGAAACATATGCTGCTGAGAGTTTTTAATCCCTACTATGTCCAGCGGATTTAGTGGTGCTTGCGAGCAATTAACAATTTCAGAGATGTTAAGACAGTATATGTGCCACATTTATTCAATGGACAGTTTCACACTTTTTGGAGCTTTATTTCTGAGCCACATGCTCGCCAGGAAAGAGTAAGACATACTCATTTGGGCGGATTAGCATGTTTTTAGACTTAATCCACTTTCCCATGTGCAATTTTATGGCAGCAATCGCATGTCAGGCGTATATGGCGGGGTGTGTAAGGTCGGATGCTTTAGCATGACGCTAGCATGCCAGCAGGATTAGACTATCTGACAAGGTCCTGTGTAATTATAGTAGAGACACTGAGTGATTATTTATATAGGAAAGAGAAAATATCAACAGTCAGGATGTGGCTGAAATGGGAGTGCGGGGGAAACGGCTTAACTGCAGGTCTCAGAGGGGGTCGGAGAGGATTTTAATCCCTGCAGTGGATGAAAACATAATTTTTAAAAAGGTTTTTAATCAGAAGCAAAACAATGCACCACTTTTCTGGTGTCTGATATTTCAGCCAGTACTTATTACGTCACTGTCAACGTTGAAATGTTTTGTGGTCGCTGGAAATTGACATTTTCTCAAGGTCACGTTTCAGCAGAGCTGTGTGGTCTGTGCCTCAGTGGTTTCATGTGGAAGGTGGAGCTCTTTTCTAAACATTTATGAAGCCGAATATAGAAAAGAAAATGAGACTATTTCAAAGCTCGTCTGAATGTGGGTCATATAACCTCAGTGGTGCTCTTTTAAATTGCTACAGGTGGACTCATAAATTCATTTCTTTCTCACAGCTTTCTTCCCTAAAGTCCGAGTGTTGATGTATCTAAATCTCCTCCCACTTTCACCCTGAGGATTTCTATTGTTCCTACTAGACCTTGGCAGGTTTATAGTTTCTCTGAATAGACTGTGTAATGTATTTTTTTTTCTAAACACATTAAGGTCAGTGTGAAAATTATACAATACCTTTTGCATGGTCAATTACTGTGTCACTAAGGAGACATTCTTGGGGTTTAATCTGTTTATGTTTCTCATTCAAACCATACTCTTACTAAATCTTACTTTAGGAAAAGTAAGGAATTTAGGAAATCTTACTAAATTTGAAAAGTAGTGTGTATATAAGTACATCTTTGATTAATGTATTTCTAATGTAATATGCTGAATTAAACCTATTTAATGTACATTTTCTGTCGGAGATTCTTTATTGGGGAGTCATACCCTGCCAACATCCAACATTTTTTTGCATTCTGATTAAGAATGTAATATTGGCAAGCTTGTTTGGTTAAATATTAATTCTAGCCATGCCCACATCCCTATATCTTACCTTTCAGAGATAAATTACAACATATTGAAAGGTTAATCTCCACTCTTGAGTGTGTGACCCTTTAGACCAGTATATCTCAACCCTGGTCCTGAGCGCCCCCCAACACTGCACATTTTGTATGTCTCCCTTATCTGACACCCATTTCAGGTCCTGGAGTTTCTTTTAATGAGCTAATGAGTTGAATCAGGTGTGTTTGATTAGGGAGACAAACAAAATGTGCAGTGCTGGAGGGCACCCAGGACCAGGGTTGAGAAACACTGCTTTAGACCCTTGACCTGAGCGTACACTCCTTCTTCCTGTCGACCCCAGTCAGGTACTTGTTCTGATATATGCTCCTGACCTGGCTTCTGTCTGTGTAATTAGAAGGTCACTCAATAGAGTCATTTTGCAAGCTTTAGCATCAAGTATAAAATTGAGAGTGCATAAGGTCAGTGAAAAGCAAGGAATATGAAGATCCAAAGTTCAGTACAGGTTTTCAGCCGTATTGACTTGCATAGAGGCAAAGCTAGTTTCTGTTTTTAAATATAATGTAAGTGCTTGACTTTTTTCCAAAGTGGGACTTTCTAAAATATTTTTCTTTCTGAACTAGTAAAATCAGGCATTGTTTGGGTACTGTGCTCTTAATCAGTATGTTTATGCGTTTTGCCTTCTAAATCTAGTGTTTTGACTCTGTAAATCGCTGGTGCACATTGTAAGTTACTGCCAGTGTTGGGAAGGTTACTTTGGAAATGTAATAGGTTACAGATTACAAGTTACCCTATTTAACATGTAATAGTAGTGTAACTTTTTCAATTACTTTATTAAAGTAATGTTACTGATTACTTTTGATTACTTTTTGATTACTTTTCTAAATTTCTAATG